ACTGAACCAACACAGTAACCCCAATGCAGTTGAATTGTTATGTACTCCTGATTTGTGAGGCTGTTCACAGGAATTGGACTTATGCATTCAATGTGAAGCAAATATACATCATCTGGGAAAAGCTAGCAATACAGTGGATGCAAATAATGAAATAGCAACAGCTGAAGTAGTGAAAACCTGATTTATGCTGCAACTGAAAAAACAGGAGTTACTGCATCCACTGTCTCATCTGTACAAGCCGTCCTGATGTTGCTCTGGGTTATTATGCCATGCATTCGCAACACTTTTGATACAAACACTGCTGAAAACCTCATTCTATTCTATTGCTATGCACTTCAAAGTAAAAAATAAATATCAAATGTAAACAACATAGAGACTGAAGTTGAGTTTCTCACTTATTTATTCCACCCATAACCTCGTCTAAACACGTGTCTGTTGATCCTCCTTTTATCTCCTCTTACAACCCTCCTTCTCCTTTTCCCTAATTACTTTTTTCTCCTCATTGGCCTTCAAAGCACCTCTCGTCTAACTTCGTTCCATCTATTCGCGTCATTCTTCACTATTCATCATCTTTCTACACTCTTATCTTTATTTCCCTCGTTTTTTTTATCTTCAGTGATCTTCTCTCACTCATGGTTTGTTTTTATACCATCTTCCTGTTCTCTTTTTATCAGTATGCTGTCCCATCCTCAGTACCGTGCTTATGTAAATATAAGCACATCTTTCACCAGAGCTCTCAGGTACTCCTGATGTTATCCCTCATACATTTTCTCTGACAAAAAACATATACTAGTATGCATTATGTATATTATATAAAATACACTTTTTCTGAGTGTTTTTTAAAACTAGTTACCATATCTGTCATAACTAACTGTGGGAGACTACATGGCATTTTCCAATAAAATCACGCATTTAAATCTAAGAATATATTTGTGTAGTTCACAACAGCAGTACGGCATGTTTTTACTTTAAACACAGTCGGTAATGCTTTGCGCACTTCTCAATGCAAATCAGTGCAAATAGTGTTATATAGTAGTGTAGTGTTAGTGTTATATCTCTCACAGGCTCCGCCCTCTACTGGACTCTATGGGTACTACCTTATCATGCAAGCATTCACCTACTGAGACTTCTATTGATGTAGCCGGCCCCGGGGCCTGTAACGCCTGCCGGATGATCCCTCGGCTGAGCCGCCAACATCGTGGCGATCATTTCCGGGTGAAGTTCGGCCCGCAGGAGGAGGTGGAGGATCAGGACCTCGAGGTGGTGGAGATGGATGAACAGGATGACGAGGTGCCATTCGAGTTCACCCTCCCGAGGGGCCGCGTTCGCGGAGGAGGAAGGCCACGAGGACGCCTCGTTGTCTGGTACCTTCGGGTCCGGCGGCCAGGAGGGTCCAGCACACAGGTCTGCGTGTCTGGACTTCCCGGCGGTGATGACCCTGGCGGCGGAGCGTGTGGGCTTACCGCTCCGCCCACCGCTGCCACCGAGGCCTGTAAGCCGCCTTCGGCAGGGGTGTTACGGCCCGGCGCAGCCGGCCTTCTTCTCGCCCCCGTTGCCACATATCTGGCAGTGTGTGGAGGCGACGTGGCGGCGGCCATTAAAGACGAAGGCCCCAATCGCAGCCATGGCGGGTATCATCAGGGTGCAGGGCCGCTCGGACACGGCGTGTCCCGGTGTGCCCCCCCTCGATGAGAGCCTGGCGGCCCATCTGCTTCGGCAGGCAGCTGGTTGGGCGGAGGGAAAGAAACCTCTGCCCACGCTGCCACGGGACCGAGACACCTTGGAGTATTTGGACAAAATATTCAGGCTCGGAGCACAGAGGAGAGGGTGCAGCTTAATGCAGTTTACCGTAATGGTAAAGGGGACATTATGGTGGACCAGTAAAAGATCGGCCCTGAGTTGATCCGGGGTGACCAGAGCGGGGCGACACTCAGACCGAACCCCTCCTTTGTGCCCAAGAGCCTAAGGAGTGCGTTCAGGTCGAGGGCTATTCAGTTAGGGGGCTTTAGTCTTCCACCCCATAGTGGGGCCAGGGAAGCTAAACTGCACCTCCTCTGCCCGGTGCGTGCGCTAGCATGTTATGTGGAGCCCACGGCTGCCCTTAGATGCACTGAACAGCTGTTTGTGTGCTTCGGGGGCGGGGTGACCGGGAAAGCTCTGTCCAAGAAACGCCTGGCAAGCTGGCTCTGTGAGTGCATTGCACATGCCTACGGACAGGCGGGGAGAGCACACTCTACACAGGCTGTGGCTGTGTCAACAGCCTTATTCAACGGTGTGAGTGTGGAGGACATATGCATGGCGGCGTCTTGGTCAACGCCAGGCCCCTTCATAACGTTTTATCTCTTGGACATGTCTGGCTCTTTCTCCTCGTCTGTGCTTGCTGGGGCAACACAGGACTGGTGAGGAGGGGGAGGGCTGTGGGTCAGTGGGCATCTGAACCCCTCCCCGGGCGTAATGCGCTTATGTTTTTTCCGGGCCCCCTGTAGGGTCCCGGGGGACGTGGTGTGCACTGGGCCCTTACGGGGCTGGAGGGCTCTCCTCGCCTGCCTAGGGGCAGGAGGGGAGAGCCCTCCACACTATAGTCCACGCAAACTCTGCACGGGGTCAGTGTCTGGGGACATGGGGCACTTGCGCTCTCCCCGTGCTCCTTAGGGATTCGGGAGAGGTGGTGCATAGTGAGCCCATACAGGGCTGGGGACTCTCTCCGTCTGCCTATGGGCGGACGGGGGGAGCCCTCAGCACTGTTTTCCGAGCACACTTTTCGCGAGGTAAACGCGTCAGAGTGTGCTCTGTCAGCCGCAGCCCAGACTTCTCCATGGTTACAACCGAGGTAGAGGAGAGTGAGGTGCAGCGGCTGCTGACCAGAAAGCCGGTCAGGGGCAGTGGGGTGGAACGGTGTTGTTGGACGACAGCGCGTGTATACATCGGGGCTCTACTCGGGGCACTGTCTGTCCTATACCGCTCGCTGAAGAGAGGTGTAGGATGACAGTCAGGAGGCGAAGCCTCCTTTTATACGGTGAGATGCGCGCGCATTCAGGTAGGCCCGCCCCGGGGCCGGCTACGTCTATAGAAATCTCAGTAGGTGAATGCTTGCATGATAAGGTAGTACCCATAGAGTCCAGTAGAGGGCTCCGCCTGTGCTTATATCACAAGGGTTACCATACGTAACCCCTCGTTTCAGGATCCTCTATGCACCAAAAGTGGTAAAGGAAGCCCTACCTTTAAGAAATGTGTATTAACAGCATACGCCAAAAGAGAGAGAACTATCAGAAAAAGTATTTCACCAAATATTGAGAACATAACCTTTATAAGCAACTGATGTTAATATTGACGCCATTTCCTTTATGAAGTAAAGCAGCCTCCCTGTCTGTGTCCTCGCGCTGTCCTCACATCCCCCGACCCCCAGACTCGGAGGAGCACAGGGATGTTAGTATTGTTTATGAAGCAGGGTATAGAAAATACATTATTGAAATGAAAATAGTATTTATTTACTTTTACAAACAGTGAGCAGCGGCAGCATGTGTATTGCAGGACATGTGTAAGCATGCAAGCGTCTTTGAGTTGTAGAAAAGCGCTAGGCCTATAGGCTATAAATATAATGTATTATTATTATTATTAGGCCTATGTGTTGGACATGTGTGGTTGGACTCTGTCTCACAAGCAGGTTGCAGTATAACATCAGAGGAGACTGGGCCAATTGTACATTCTCAAACTGCACAACATAGAACTAACTAAACAATGCAGAGATTATTTTTATATAATTGTATTCAATAACCGTAAGAAATTAAACAGTATGAAGTGATTTCTAAATATGAATACAGATTTGACTTAATGTTTTCATAAATATGTTTTTCTCCCAGTTTGTCATGGGACTTATTTTGACCCTCTCAAAGAACCGGAATCGAGAACCGAAAATAACCGCAATCGAAAAGCAGAACCCGGAATCGTTGAAATCCAAACTATACCCAACCCTATGTGTGATGCAGTAAAATCTTACCGCTCACTTACGTTAGCGGTGACGTAAAAATCGTGGGGAAAAGTAAAATACGTTGGCGAAGAAGAAGATTCCAGTGGCCCCAATTTTTGTCCATTCTGGACAAATGAAAAATGTATTCGGACAAGTAAATTGCCAAACTCACTTGTCCATGGACAAGTACTCTCTAAAAACCTTTTCTCACACTGCATTAATCTCTTGCTGTGCAGTTGAAATTCTACTTCACATGCAAAAACATACACACAACACATGTGAACACACACACAGATATTGAGCACCCATACACACAATTTCATAAGGATTGTCCTACATAGAGTGACATAGTGTCAGTGTTGCCTCAGCTGACGGAATCGATGATGATTCTGTGTGATGAATGGAGACATGGAAGAGTGCTGCATCATATGCAAGTCTATAATATGTCACATACATGACGAATAGAGCTTGAGGACAACATCTGATTTCTGCTCATTTGAGGCATTGGAACATAGGGGCGTACACACACACACACACACACACACACACACAACAAACACACACACACACACACACACACAACACACACACACACACCACACACACACACACACACCACACACACACACACACACACACACACACACACACACACACACACACACACACACACACACACACACACACACACACACACACACACACACACACACACACACACACACACACACACACACACACACACACACACACACACACACACACACACACACACACACACACACACACACACACACACACACACACCTCATGTAATATTCAGTAAAAAATATACTGAAAACTGGAGTTATCGCCTTAGAAGGAGAAGCGGGCAGCTTGAAAACATAATGCTTTCGCCACCTTGGAGATATAAATATATGAAAGCAGTTGACCCTGAACAGATTGAACTGATTGCAGGATGACTCAAATCTATTAAAATCTCACAGTGAATAGTCAAACAATGCATGTGCTTTTTTTCTACGACTAATCTTACCCTGCGAGACTGGATCTCTTTGACGTATAGAGGCAATAAGAATTCGGACACTCCCTCCAGTCTGACACCTTCCTTGGTCACCTGCAGATTCCCCATTCCTTCCTAAAAGACACATCAACATCGAGAGAGAGACAGAGAGAAATTCAGTGGTGATTCAGAAAACAAATTACAAATCAAAAGAATAATGTATTATTATATTTGCCGACACAGCTGTCTTATCTCGTCAGAGACAATCACACAATTTGCTGCGCTCAACTTCATTCTGATTAGTTTTATATTATTCATAATTATAAATGTTATCATTTTATACTACTTAATCATTATAATAAATACAGTAACTGATGACCGAAGAGCAGTCGTAAGACACAATTGCTTAATCAGTTATTCATACACCTGCATTTCGAGGTTGAAAAGACTAAGAAGTTAACTGTTTTTTATTTTTTAATCAGGTTTTTGTATGGACTTACAGAGATTTTCGAATATCTTCTACATGGAAAAACAAATCTTTTGGAGTGTTTATACAACTTTTATTTTCATGTATCATGAAGACAGATCCTTAACCCAAGGGTGTATACATGTGTACCTGTTATTATCACATCACATGCTATTTAGCAGGCCCAGCTCACCCTGTCTAATTGACTCATTTTGAATGGATGGGTGGAGGTTGACAGTCCCTTACAGCTCTGTATCGTTTCACAGACACTAAAACTGCAAACCATCATCGCTACCTGAGTTTGAAGCCAATTATAAAGAGTGAACAATAATAAAGAGACCAAGTTGTCAAACCTAAACCCATCAGAGTGTGTCGAGTACACACTTGGCTTTACTTTGGGACTCTTCCTTTGGGAACAATTTCACTGCTGGCCTTCCCATTGACATTTAACATGTATATAAGGAGGCGTGTGGCGCAGTGGATAGAGCGTTGGTGTTCGGATCAAGGGAGCACAGGTTCAAACCCCACTGCAGTCAGCATGTCGTTGTGTCCCTGGGCAAGACACTTCACCCCAAATTGCTCCTGTGGGGATTGTCCTCAGTATTGAGTATGTAAGTCGCTTTGGATAAAACAAGTTAACAAGTAACATGTAATATAAACAAAAAATGCAGTTCCTCTTGATTCATCTGCTTTTTCTTGCAAATCACCCTGACTAAATATCACCATGAATTTCAGTATTCAGGAGATTTACACTTTTTAATGTCCTGGGTTCAGACAATTTAATAAATGTTCATAGCTTTTAGGGATACCCAGCAGTACTTATTAAAATTAGTCATTGATGAGCAGTGTAATATTGATGAGGGATGGGAATATCATGTATTCACACAGGTCAGTTTCATCCACAGTCAGAATCTGTTTTACAGAGAACATTCTTAAAAGTACTTCATGTTTATTGTAAGCATGTAATTATAAATATGCATTCAAGATTAAAGAGTTATTTCCCCTGATAAAACACAAAGGATCATGGGCAGCAGGAGGGGACATCGGCACACTTTATGTTGTGTTAACTTTGTTGGCAATCCACTACAACATATCACTTCAGAAGCCTTATGGCACACTGTCAAAGCCTCATGGGAGCTATAGTTTTGAAAGGCTAACAGAAGTGTTGTACTATCTTTCTAAAAAGACATGGGTGCTGAAGTGTTAGCTTACAATGCAGAAAGAAAACCCCAGGAACACGTCTCAGGTTGTCAGAAAAACCGATGAAAGGAACCCCCGCTGAGAAAACCCAGGGAGATATTGAGCAGTGTAGAACAGAGGTTAGCTTTGGAAAGGGGGAGGATTGCACTCTCAGTGGGGAGCCTCTTCAAACAAGGGTCAATGCAATGGAAAAAAAAAAATTAAACATATACATGTTTAAATGAAAGTACTTCCATCTGAATAATATGGAATGTTGACAGCATAACATGTATCTTCAATATTTAGGCATTTGGGTAACTTTGCAAAGACTATTTAGAAGTGATCTTCATTTCCTTATTCAAGACAACAAGAAACCAAAAATCCAAGGTGTGATGGTGATGACCCAACTTGGTTATTATCTAACTTTCTCTCAGCTTCCTTAGATCATCAAATGGCCCAAAAAGTGTATGTAAAATGTAAATATATATTGACTCTAGCTCTACATATCCATACATCAGTATGAGCCCTGTAAACACATTTAAGTAATCTTCATTACATAACATTGCCATTTCTGATCATCTGACCATCTCGCTGTGATAGAAGTGGCTTTGTGACGGTTTGTGATCAGTCGTATCCCATTTTATAGATTTCACACGAGTAAATGCCTGAAATATTGTTGTATCAGACTAACATGGTGAGATGAAATCCCTTCCACACAGCCATGCAGGGTATTAGGATAGTGAGGGCCTTTACAGTGAAACGAGGCAGCTACTGTTCCATGTCAAATCAGTGCTCAGCTTAGGAGAGTGAGTGTGGAGGAAGCGTAACAGTGCTACAGCGGCCCTGGTCATGTGCTTGGTTAGAATTTGTTCAGACTTATTGGTAGTGTGGTAGGTTTCATGGTCTGTTGATTTTATTGCAGCAGAAGTTGAAACATTTATAGAAACTGATAGCATTGCCTTGTTTGTATAAATAGCCCAGTGTATAAGAGATCAACTGTAACCACCAACAGAAAGGAGTTGGATTATTAACATTTAATGAAAAAGGAAGTTTCAATTTACAAAAAAGAAAGCCGGAATATAGGTTAGCAAACAATAAACAATCGAACAATGTTGGTATAAATGCCACGTAGCAGCTTGTTGCAACACTTTCTTCTTAGCGTTTTGTTTTGAATGATTGAGATATCAATAACAAACCATGACAGGAACCGTCCTGGTTTATCTCTAAAAGGCTCCCTCAGCACAAGTAGTTTCAGGCTTGAGAAGTTTTTACTAGTGTGGGATAATGTTATTTTCCTCACAAAACTATGTGGATTAAAGCGATTCAGAGTAACTCTCTCACAGAATGTGTTGCTTGATGACAACGAATTGGTCTTGCTTCCCTGGTTCCCAGCTTTCTTTTCATGTTCACCAATATCGATGAAACTGTCCGTGAAGACAGGAATTCTCTTCTGAGTTCGGCAGTGGATTATCATTAATTGTTGGGTGCAAACCAACAAAGCCTTCTAAATTAGAAATGTTCTCATGGCAAAAGAGAGAGAAAAGAGACAGGGAGCCAAAGGAATTGGGAGGATAAGACAATGAGATGAGCAGAAGAGGAAATGGAAGAGAAGGAAACAAGTTAAGCTGGGGAAATTCAAAACTTGAAAATGAGTAAAATACAACCTAACAATGGGTACACTTAACTCCCCTTCTGTCTCTATTTTCAAAGAATGTATTGCATTGCATTTTATTCTACTTTTTCGAGAAATGTTATGTTAAAGTCCTTTTAAAAAAAGAAACATAACATAAGTCCATATTTTGAATTGTGTATGTATGCATTCAAAGGTCCTGTTTCTTTAAGAATATGGATCTTTAGATTCATTACTTATCTTGTTTTGTTATTTATGTGTGTACATTTCAGTAGTAAAATATATATGGCTATGTACTGTATATAAAGATGTGCATCTGGCCTACATAAAAGAGCAATACATTTGCTGACCGTATCACATGATGTGTTGGTCATGATATTGAATAATTCATCCCCTGCTTTCAAGAGAACAATGCATAAGAAAATAATCATAATTATTTGTTTATATTACTTTGTTTATATTGTGCATTCCTAGTGAATTTGAGTTCAAATGTGTTCAGGGTAAACGTTTCCCACATGATCAACATTGATACATTTTATTGCAAAAGGTGGTGCAATATTGATCAAATTACATGATTTCCACATAAAGGCCAATGCCAACCCCTTATATTGGTCTACTCTATATCTAATCCACTCACACACAAAGTTACAAATAGGCGCATAGCAAAGCGATAAGAGTCTGTCAGATCGATAAGTTAAACCAGCTAGAGGTTTTCAGTGTTGTTAGATCTATAGTCATTACGCTGAATATACAGTGGAGCATAGAGCTCATTCAATAAGCAATAATACAACAGGCCCGTGGAATGACTAACTCACTCCCTGGAAAACACACATGTATATTACAATTCTCACACACACACACACACACACACACACACACACACACACACACACACACACACACACACACACACACACACACACACACACACACACACACACACACACACACACACACACACACACACACACACACACACACACACACACACACACACACACACACACACACACACACACACACACACACACACACACACACACACACACACACACACACACACACACACACACACACACACACACACACACACACACACACACAGAGAATCACATACACATTATTACATATTCCCAATCACCACGTTTCCCACAATGCCTCTCTTATCCTCCCTTTCTCAGTCTCCCTCTCTGTCTCTCACTTCTAAAAACATGAAGACGATGATGTTAAATTAATCAGGGGGGTTTATTCCACCTCTCTGCTCCACTGTCAAACACAGAAGCCACATTCTGATTGAACATGACAGCCCTCCCTCTTTCTCTGTATCTCACACACTGCTCGTCTTTTTGTTTTATTGTCAAACCAGTATGCATGGTTGGCATGAATTGTACAAGAGAACAATATTGCCAAAGCTTAGAATACAATGCGAATTCATCAACAAACAGAAGAAAATGACTACATATTTTTTCTCATTGTTCAGCCCTTTCTCTTCCTCTCTGAATCTGTTTGTCGAGGCTTTTCTTTGTCCTACTTTTCTCCATCCCTCTCTTCATCTGTCTCTTTTTTATTCTCAATGTTAAATCGTTTTTTTCCAAAAAACGGATTATTTTGTTCTAACTTTAGTTATATGCATTTAAGGTTAGAATAAGTCATTGTGCTTTATGCTGTAAAACAATTGATATAAGACTTGATATGTCCCTTTAGTGTGTGGATTGGTAAATATGTAAACCAAATGATATGCAGGGTTGGGAGGGTTACTTTGTAAATGTAATCAGTTACTGATTACTGAATACATGGCTCTGAAACGTAATCAGATTACTTTTGGATTACTTTCTTTTTCCATCACAGATGGGTATGTTT